GAGAGTATCACTGACATGTTTTTGGAAATCCACACAGCATATATAAATTGTATGTCCTTTACCACATGTTTGACGACTCCTTGAAAGAATCCAAAGATGCTTTTGAGGCATACTTTTCCTATACTAGCAAGATCTTTCCTTGTTCTACCTCTAAACTATACGATACTACATAGTTTATTATTAGGTATAAATTTTCAACCAAAAAGCAATGCAATAGTGGATGTATCTCTAGAGTGAAGACAGCATCAGAACCACTGCGGAGTTACTCTGCTAGCCAAGAATAGTGACACTGGTAGTCTGGTCCAGGTTTTAGCTAGAGCTAATGACTAAAACTGTTTTCTCTCCACACCGTGAATCCCCACCATTTTCTCATCCCACCAGGAAGGCACAAATTTCCACTGGAGCAGGATATCTCAGTATCTATGGCACTGTACACTACTGGAGAGAGGGCAGCTCAGACTCCAAACTCTCTTTTAATGTAGTTTCACTGGAATAAGAATATCATGCTTTTTGAAAAAGAAGCAATAGTGAACTGATACAACTCTGAAATTATTATCTCAAGACAGTATGTGAATGTTACTGGCCAGAGTACTTACTTCCCGGTGATATACGAATAGACTTACTCACAGCGCTAATCAGAAAGAAGCAACATAACTGTTATGAGTGAAAGACTCATATGAACAGAGAGGAGAAACATCATTCCAAAAATGAAAGAACCCTTCAGAATGAACACACTTGCTGGAGTGAGAAAAAGAAGCAGAAAAGTCTGACTTCAAGGGATCTTCATTTAACAAGGAAAGAAGTAACAATGAAAGAGTATTTTTTAAATGTATAATGGATGGAAGCCACTAGCAGCTAGGAGAAGAACTAGAATAGAACGGAACCACGTTGCTGAGAATCAAACGTCCTAACCCAAAGTAAAGCTAAATGTAGAAAAGCCCAAATTTAGTCCTGATGTAAGGGGAGGCCAATGAGAGAACATCATAAAACTAATTTAGTGCTGAACACCTAAGTGTGTTCAAACTCAGCACTGAAGCGAGAAATCAAACATTAGAGAGAAGTCTAAGAAAAAAGATTTAGTTTTCCGTAATGTTGGTAGCCACACAGTGTGCAAGTATCAGTTACTGGACTGTACACCTGCTTGAGTCATTATGAAGTTAACACTGGTAGTCCATTGTACACTGAAAGCATATTGAAGTTCTTGAAGGACACCAAGTAGCCAAAAAATACAGAAAATCACAATGAAAGAGAATAAGGAGAAATTATGAAGATGATTGAATTACTTCTATCTGAGACAAAAATAAAGTTCAAGAAGAAAGCAGGACAGATAGATGGAGTAAAACAAATGCTGAATTCGACAACATTGTGGTCTCACCAGTCTCTATTTCCTTGGTCACAATAATACTGTCTCTGAAACCTTCCTTTTCTGTTCGAATTGTAAAGTTGTACAGCTTACCAGGAGTAAGGTTGGAAAACGTTGCTGTTTCTTGCTTGACCTTCTGAACCTAGAAAACCAAATACAACTTTCACAGAACTGCTTGCAAAATTTGCTTATCTTCTGTAAATGGTACCTCCACCTATTTTAATGGGAGATACAGCTTTTAATTTAACCTCCGATTACTTAATAGAAGACTGAAAAATAACTGCATTGCCTATACAAGAGTGATCTTTTAAAAAACGTACCCTGAAAGCACTTGCACAATTTGTACATGTAACTTCATATTGCTGAAAATCTCCATCGGCACGGTCCCAAGCGATCTGTATTGAAGTGTCTGTAATGTTGCCTTCTCGCACATTGAGTGGAGCTGCCAAGCCTACAGAGGAACACAAAACACATTACTGTTTAATCCAAGACTTTGTTCAATTCAACACTTCTTGTATCTCCTGTGGAAACATAAAGGTGAAGACAATCAGTAACATATTCAAACAAACAGAGGGCAAAATCTCATCTCTCAGGCATGCAAACACACAGATGCTCCAAAACAGAAAAATGGAGTAAGAACAAAGAGATAATACTAGCACTATTTAAAGAAAATTGCTTGCTTGTTTGTCTTAAAATTACACAGGGCTGAATGTGCATTTCTCCCTGAGGACAGAGCTGGCACTCCTAGGTGGCAAAGACTTCCAGAAAGAAGTTTATCCCTCCAGTACCGTCACCATAGTGCTCAGAGTGTAGCTAAATTTCGTCAAACAGCTCAGCAAAACCAAGTAGACCAGGCAAGAAAAATACACTTTATCCTTAATTAGCATAGCCTTGTATGATGCAATTCAGAGACATTACAGAGAAGCTTCCACTCTTCTCCGCATCTCTTTCATCCCCACCACAGCTGCTTCTGGCTGGAATGTAGCAAAATTTACACTTTTTCTAAAAAAATGTATACATGTGAGGCATCAGTATGTTTTTTGCTTCCAAGTTTCTGAGACCCCAGAAGAGACAGACCAGAACTAGGTCTTCTAAGGCAGTTTCACGCTAACTTTAGGAAATACTTTCATAAGATCAATCAAACCCCAAGTTTTTATTGAAAACGTATTTTAAGAAAAATCAGCTTTCAAAGTTTTCACTATTTGGGGAAGAATTTTTCTGTCTAGCTCCCATACTCCTCTTCTTTCTTCCTTGCTTCTTTTTATCCTATCTTAATTTGTCATTTTATAACATTTCTGCTCTGAAAGAAACAGAGTAGAAAAGAATTTCAAAGGAAAATGATAAACAGGAAAGGAAAAACTTCTGGACGTATAATAAAAAATAGGGAAGTCAAAACATAGGATTTCAGCAGGTATTTTTAAACAGTTTTAAAGTTCTTATTAAAATTGCTCTTTTAAAGGCCTTGCTAGAAGGAGCCCCTTCCCATAACACTTTTGCAATATCTTTCTTTGTTACTGAATTTATTATCTTGAAAAACGGGAATCTCACTGCTTTTATTATTTGCTTAAAGATGCACCAGAACAAATAAATGTACCAATTTCAAGACACAGAAGTAATTCCATTGATAGTCATCTTCTTGGCTAAAATAAATGGTCAAAACGTGTCTTGTTTCCAACAAGGACAACAATTTAATACAGCCTAAATTCCTGAAATACTTGCTAGACATTTCATAGACTTAATATAAAAAACACAATTTAGAAAGTGTAGCAATTATAAAGGACCATTATAGTGTTGTTTAAAAACCAGCTAGTGTTCGTATAATTATTAATTGCTGACACAGATATATCAAGGTGATTTTTAAATAGCCTGTCTTTTCTACTGCACTGAAATAAAAATACAGTTAAAAGTTTACAAATTAAAATTTAATATGGTGCAATTTTATAGGAATAAACTTAAAATACTCACATGTCTTTACACCAGATACATGGTAAAAGGAACTCAACATTTTTCCACTTTTTGTGGAGATGCAGAAATCATATTCTGTTCCTGCAGTGAGGTTTTCAATCGTTATTTTACCATCGCTTTTTAAAATGAAGGTCACATTAGGTCCTCCTTCACTTGTAACATATATGCCATCAAATACTCCAATATCAGGCATGCGAACAAATAATACCACAGCATTGCTATAAAGCACATAAGGAACTACAATTTGGACAGGCATAGGCTCTAAAAGAAGAAAAAAAATTGCCGCATGTTAAATAAGTTGAAAATCAATTCAATGAAAACCACACAACAAATCTGAAGCAATTGCCCTGAGAAATATGCTTGCCTAGTGCAAATGAATAGCTACCACAACACATCATTGCTCAGAAACAATAAACCACGTGATCTTTTTAGGTGTTTATTACCGGAATCCTAAAGCATTTGACAAATTAGTTATGAATCAAAGCAAGATAGGCTTCCAAAGGTATTAATGAATTATCTTTTCAACCACAACCACAGCAAGAACGTAAGTCAGGATAGCTGAAAAAGTATACAGAAATGTACATGTGGACCAGGAGATGAGCAGGGAGAATGAGAGCGGTTTGATGGATGCAGCACTGGCGTGTTTAGTTTTCTTCCCTTACAGCTGGCTCTGAGAGCTGTGAAAAATCCCATCTAGAATTTTCTGTCATACTTGTCTTGAATGAGGAATTATATCTAATCTTATATCAAAAATTCTGAAAAAGACTACGCCTACTACCTTCCAAAATACTGTAACCATTTAGAAAAAAATCCCAAAGCAGCATTTCGTATATCTATAATCTGACAGCTGCAGCCTTTACACACCACATGTCTAAGTGAATCCCGCCCATTCCTTTCATATATGCAAAACAAAATTATACTGTGCCAAAAGCATTTCAAAATGTTGGTAAACTAACAGGAAAGACCCTTCGATAAACAATTTTGAGGTTTTACCTTTCAGCTTGCACTACTTGTAACCCTTAAAGTCCTTTCCCATCACCCTCTCACCGACAGCAGGGTAATTTCTCTCTCGCAGTTCACAGAACAACTAATGCATCTCCAAAAATAAATAATGTGTTTCAATCATTCCAATATTTTCCTATTTCAATACAAATCAATGATTTGCTCAATTTCTTCTGTCAGCGGGAGCAGGATTCCCAGTTATGGTCCTCATCACAGTTATCAGTACTAGCAGCGTGTTTTCCAAGGCTGCACCCTCTTTGAAAGCTAAGAACATCTACTCTGTTGTTAACACTTAGGATTGGATCAGTACATTTCATATTCTAGTTTTGATCCTTGGCTATTTAGCAAATTGACTTGATTATCAAATCTGTTAGATGACAGGACAAGGGGCAATGGTTTTAAACTAAAAGAGGGTAAACTTAGACTGGATATCAGGAAGAAATTTTTGACAATGAGGGTGGTGAAACACTGGCACAGGTTGCCCAGAGAGGTGGTAGAGGCCCCACCCCGGAAACGTTCAAGGCCAGGTTGGATGGGGCTCCGAGCAGCCTGGTCTAGTTGAAGATATTGCTGCTCACTGCAGGGGGGCTGGGCTAGATGACCTCTGAACGTCCCTTCCAACCCAAACCATTCTATGATAGTAACAATCATGAGACTGATGTTGTGTGTATTACAGTCTGTAGTTTCCACCATTAAATGATGCCTTACTTAAAGTGCATTGAATGGTCTTCAGTTCACTCATATTTCCATTATTCACACTTGCCACTGCTATTTCGTAAGCCATTCCAGGAATTAGGAGATCAACCTTAAATTCTTCTGTATTGTTTAATAAAAACTTCTTAGTTTCACCTATGCCTGCATTAGGTTTCACTTGAATGTAGGACTTCTGACCCTCTTGTGGCAGCTTCCAGTGAAGGATTACGCTCTCTTCTTGTACATCCTCTGGGTGAATATAAATAGCTGTAGGTGGACTGACAGCTTGATCAAAGAAAAAGATGTCAGTATAAAACCATAGATCAAACTTATTATCAATTTACAATCTCTTCCCAATGATGACTTTTGGTTTCTTTTTTCTTCTAAAAATTTCATTATTTTAGAACTACTAATTTAATTATTTCTTAAAATAGCTTGTAGACAACTACCTGTTACAAGCAGATTTTACTTTCTGTTTTCTCATAACAAACAGGGACTTATTTTACAAGCATATTCCTTTCCATTGGATATATACAGAGTAACAAAAATTACACAGAGTCACAGTATCTATGACTAAAAAAATTAATTAATCTGTCTTCACCTACATAATTTGAGACATCACGGTAATGTTTCTACTTTGCCAAAATTAAATATACAAATCATGAATCAGTATTAATGAGATAGGATGTCACTTTAGCACACACTAATGCTCTAAGTAGATAAACAAATAAATAAAAAAATAAGAGGATAGGTACATCCACTCTTTTGGAAGGTTCTGAAGGTTAGAATCAGTAAGAAGAGAATATAGAAAAGAATTCCCTCGACTTTCCCCCAATACATCCCAAAAAACCGCAGGCTGTACTTTGCTTAAAAATACTTTTGTGCCTTCTATTTTCAATTTAAACACTGTCTAGTGAAATAAACCAACCAGAAAATGGATACATCACCTGTTGTGATTAATATAGGCTTCTCATGGCAGCTTAGAGTTCCTTTCTCTGCTACGTTCTGTAAATATACCTGATACTGATGAAAAGGTTTTACATTTCCTATTACTACTGAAGTCTTGTTTTTTTCAACTGGTAACTGTTCCCAGATATTGGTTTCAGTATCCAAAATGTTGACGAGGTAGTAATGAAAAGAAGCACTGGATGAATGCTGTGGAGGCTTCCACTTTAGATGTATTTCTGCTGATGAAACATATGGAGCCTCTAACTTCTGGGAGTGCAACGGCCCTATTCAGTAAGATTAGGAATAGAAATAGAATAATAGCTTCTGATGCCTTTTACCAATAACTTTTTTTTTAAATACAGCCTGAAAAGCTAACAGTACACACTTACCTACATAAATGCTAAACAGCATTAGAACGAATAAAATAAAACAACTTTTACAGTGTATTTAATATTGGTAAGCAGGGGAATACTTCTGCTCTCTAACTGAGGTTTTTCTGAATCACCTAGTTCTTTACATAGAATTCAGCCTCCCCACTTAGGTCTTCTCTTGTACTTCAGTCAGATCAGAAACATCATCTAAGACAAATGAACTACCCAAGCTGATTAAAACCTGGTCCTAACAAATTAAACGGCAAAATCTACTGAATTTCAGAAAGTTTAATTGTTCAATGCACGCTGGTTTTACCAATCATTTTAAAACAGCTCTTCACATGTCTCCTACACCTCTTCCAACAATTCACTCACTAGTCTAACAATTAGTAAATCATTCTATATTTCCTTGCCTAGACAATCGTATAGATAGCAATGTCGCGGCTGAAAAGGCTGATTTCTGAGATAAAAAACGTATTTGCTTCTCATAGGAGAAAGCAGGAATATCTTTCCATCATTACAGAGGTAACTTGCACTATAAGGTCTTATACAGAGAAAACAAACCACCAGATTAGGGAGCAGAGAGGCTGGCAGGCAGAGGAGATGAGAGGACGTTCAAGTGCACTAAAGCAGCCCAGGGGATGAAGTGAACTGTACAAAATGTACCTGCTGGAGAAAAGGAACAGCTTCTTTCCCCTAAAGAAAAACCTGTGTTTTGTTCTGACTTTAAGAAAGTGGACCTCTCTCTCATATTTGAACTGCCTTGTCAGAATTGGTAAAAATGTTAGATCAGTATGTTTTCTTTAACTTCTGAAAGTCAGAACATTTTCCTATTACCACAGAAGCGGGAATATGAAGAAAATTTGCTGCTAAAATTCTGTCCATGAAGTAGTTTTTCCTTGCAGACATCTCCCTTTTGTCACCTTTAGATGCAAAAGCATTTTTCTCCTCTACAAACTGGCAGGTTTTATTTGGCTTCATTCAGCTAGAACACAAGTTAATTGGTTCATTAATCTTTCTTACGCCACAGCGTATCATGCAGCAGGTCAAAACACAATGCATTTTTAAACCACAAAGTTTCTCTTAATCTTAACTGCAGGTATACAGGGGTACCTCTGCTTATTCCAGCAAAATCTTTTACTTCAGATTGGAAACTATGCTTCTGCATTTCACCAGTGTGGCCAAAAAGTACCTTACTGATACTCTGACATCCAGCTTTACCTTTGGATAAGAATTCTGTGAGTAAAATTATGGTAAGAATGACCTTTTAGAATATACTTCACAGAAACAGAATTTGTAGCTGGCTTTCTGCTTGCAGCCACCAAAAACTCCTCATTTTCTCCTCAACCATCCCAATAAAGAATTTTAGCACAAAAGCAAAATGAAGACGTTGGAAACCACTCTACAAACTGGTAAATCCTGGATTCAGAATTCATGTTCAGATTTATTTATATTTTCAGACAAAATATTAACACAAGGAACAATGCAGTTAAAGGAAAAATTTTAAACGTGTATGATCATCTGGTTATTGCTGCTGTTTATTTTTGTAACTTACTTGTTTCTACCTTCAGAATTGGACTTAAGACAGTCTGTGCCCCTTCTGGGTTCCTTGCTGCTAATAAAAATCCATAGCAAAGGCCGGGAGACAACTGCACAATTTTGGTTTGAGTTGTATTCACAGGCAAATTCAGAATGTATGGTTTCCACTGATCAAAATAGTATTTCATTATAAGTGCAAAGCCTGACTTAAGCCACATGTTCATATCACTCCACATAAATACAGCTTCAGTTGTCTTGACATCACGCACACTAAACATGAAGTTTTCTGGTACCAGAGGTACTGAAAAAGAATATCAAAAATGAAAAAAATATTGAAAATCATGAAAATCTTTCTTTTAATATTTGTGTCACATAATCGGGGGAAGGCTTTTAACAAAAAATGCAAAAGATAGGAAAAAATATAGTTACATTCATATTCACAAATATACGGTAGCTGTATGTAGCAGAAAAATCCTGTGAAGAAATAGTCTGGAGCAGTGGGATCTTTCTGAAGGGCATAGCAGTCAGTTTCATTTTCTGGTATCATTGACAAAGTTGAGATACCAGCCTTCAGAAGATAAGGAGATCCATCTGTCCACAAGAGCTGACCTTCTCCCTATATTGAAAAAAATGAAATAAAAATCCCATGTATTTTTACATTATATGGATTAATTATTAAGGCTTTCTTCACTGCAAGCATATCTCCTGAACATACAAAATTTACATACTCCATTTATACAAATCAGTTCTATAGGAACATTTTGAATAAAGTAAATATTTCGGTGTAAAATCCTATCCTTTCCATTACAAAAGATTACAAGCTAATTACATAATATAATAGAACGTAACGCAAGCCACCTATGGCTAATGTAGAGTGTTTGATCATTACAAAAAACCCTTTAAAAATTACTATTAATCAAATAATCTAATAATCACGGATGGATAATTTTCCAAAAATGTTATTCACTTTAAAAAAAAAAAATTAATTCAGTCAAAAGTATTCATGAATTTGGTCTGACAGCAAAAATAGCTTAGCTGTAAAAAAACCACGGCTAGATTCATAATCAGATGAGGAACTGCTGTCTTTTCCCCTTTCTCCTATTTGCTGGTAGCTCAGCAGTTAAGACACTCACTCACACCTGACTCCAGGTTTGTAACCTGTACTTTCAGTTTCTCCAGCAGAGCCCTACAAATATTAGATTGGGACAATGTGATATTTTGAAGGAAGGCGCTTGTAGGATATGCTCACAGTGCTGCAATACAGACCCCTCTAGTGGGAGACAGGTCTGCACTGCACTAATGTATACTAACATCTACAGGAAACTGATAAAAAAAACCCAACACATTTATGGATGACATTGGAGCACTCTTAGGAGATGCACTGGCATAAGTGTTCAGGCATAGCAAGTCTGTGGTCCTACAGTCCACGTAAATGATTTAAGTACTGTAACGGAGAAAAGTTGAGGAACTACCATCAGACCTCCATTGCTTTACTAGTTTTTTTAAATATAGTCAAAAGTGGGGAGGGGGAGAAGAAAAAAAGACTTTTTTCCATTTCTCTGAGACATGTTTGTTGAGACTAAGCCTATTTTTTTCCAGTTCATCCATTGAATTGACAAAAAAATTAAATAAAATACCGAGATGTGTTTCATTTTCCCAAGAGGGCAAAGAAGATTTTCAATGGTATGAAATAATTCAACTTGACTTTCAGGAAGACTTGTGTGTCTAGCCTGCCATTTCAAAAATACTATGTAGATCAATGTGTCTTCCTGGTCAACAGTTAACTAGAATCACAGCAAGCCACAAGATACCACTATGATACAAACCTCTGTGTAGCAGGGCTTGTAAGAGAAGGCTCAGTGAACAGTCTTTGGCTACCTTTTCTACTTCCTAACTCTGAAGAGCTGCAGAGCGTGTCAGGACAGTCGTGAGGGTATCACCAAAGCGCTCCATTCATTCTTACCCAGCGCACTGACCTACATCTCCAGGGTCCCTGAGGTCTTTCACAAGAACGCTCACCCTCTTCAGGAAGGGTTTGAATGCAGATAAAGATCAAAACAAGGTTAAAGAAGGAGAAACTGTAAGAATACAAATGCTACAGAACTAATTCTGCTCACAGTGTCGCTAATTTTTATCAGTGTCACAGTGCTTGGCAGTTTTCCTAGATGCTGAAATCTTCTGAGTAGGTTGTAGTCTCAACTTTCATTTAATTTCATAGAATATTTCAAATCCCATGGGTACTGGGAGGAAAAAAAACTTCAAAACAGAAATAACTCGCTAATGGTTCAAATACATAAAAGAAAGCAAAAATAATTAAATCTGTATTTTTTATCTCAGATGTTTAACAAGTGCTGCAATTCCTAGCGTAAGTCCCATGATCTTTGAATTGCTAGGGTAAGTACAATTTGGTGTAAATACAATTTGAAGTTCTCCTAAGACCACAGCAAATGACACCAACGACACTTAGGACTGTAACATGTTCATACAGTACTTGAACACGCTAATTAAATACAACTATTTAGGAAGGAAGTGCTTGAAAAACAAGCATTTCATTATTATCCCTTGCTACTCTTAAAACAAGGTACTCCTCTAGTTCATCTAACTGCCTAGACTCCCACAAACACAAAAACGCATGCATGATTAAACAGTTGACTAACAGTCAAATGCCAAAGTGGCAATTAACACTTTTTTGCATAATCAGAGTTTAAAAACAAAAAAACAAACCTTTCCAGCTCTCTTTCCAATCTATAAAAAAATGATGCTTTCATGGGACATCTGTTTCTGGCAGTCTCTTACAAACACTACTTCATGTCTAAAATATCAAGTTGGTTACGAGTAATTATCATCACTATGGTGTAAAAATTACAGAATTCTAAAGTCTCATGTATAAAACAATATTACACATAAAATGCATGTATTACTGGGTCTTTACTAACCAGGAAGGTTCAAGCGCTTCTCTAATCAGAAACCTAGACAGGTTTGTGTTTGCTCAGTTTGCATGTTATCCCACTCTGACTTGTTCATGTAGCCCCATTAAATTATTTAACAGAGTCTGCAAAAAAAAGAAATTATCTGTCTATGACGTTTATCACTGACCTCCTGCCCTTACAAATAAGGTTTACTTTGGTTTTACTGTTTTTCACAGCATTTCTTTTAAAATTTATTTGACCAAAACACTATTATTAAAATTACATTTCAGACTGTACATTTTCCAAACCGAAAACCAGTGGCTTCCTCCCGACAAAGAAAGTTTTCACTTAGCCTAACCACAGGAAGACTGGATCCCACATTTCTAGCAGAGTGCCTCCATCTTTCTGAGAGCTTTCCCAACACTTTTTCTTATCTCTGTAGCTGTTCCCAAATCACATACCACACTGCAGCGAGTCATTTGATAACAGCAGTGCTGGCATTAAGAACCATCATTCCCAAATATGAGGAACAGGGAACTTTTTACAAGAAATACCTTGCTCTGATCCCCTCTTCCAGTGGCCTATCCAGCATCCATCCACACTGGACAGACCTTGCTAAGCTCAACACTCTGCATTTCAGACCCGTATCCAAACTGAGGAAGCCAACCCCAGACTTTCATAACCATAGTAACACACATATAGATTCAAAATCTGGTTATGCAGCACCACCTACAGGCAAAACAATATCCCTGTGAAGTACTCACAAAAAAAGAAAAATCAAACAGGTTATGTCTAAATTATGTCTTTTTTTCTCCAGTCACAGCCTGCTAAATATTTTCAGTATTTCTATAGAAGGAAATAAGGACTCCTCTTATAACTACCAACAACTACACAAACAAATAACTGATTTACTGCGTAGCATTATTTATTCCAAAGAATTGGGCTCTGTATTTTAAAATTCTCCTGCTTTCATATAAGTAATACCAAAGAAGATAAAACAGACTGACCTTTAGGTCGTTAAGACCCGTCCATAACATGATTATTTGTCTAACTGTCTGGAGATAAGACAAAACAAAACCACGTTCTTCTTCACTCCCTATGTCAAGAAGATGTGCCCCTCGTGAAGACGCTTCACAGATTTGTTGTGCCACCTTCCACGGCTTGCTCTCCTTGCCCATTCGATAGCAGCTGCTCTGGAATGCTGCCCACCCTTGGGAACAGGAGCCTACAGGTGGACAAGGACAGGATTGTGAAGATATTCTGTACTATTTATGGCAGTGGTACAGTTCGAGATTTTTTATGATTACACAGACATTTTGATGATGATAGCGTTTAACTGATTCACGATTGCAAACCCCCCAAAATTCAGTAATTATGAATAGACCTCCCTTCAAAATCCTGAGTGTCTTACAAAATCTCATTGATTGAATTAAAATAGTACCAACTGCACCCCACTGAAGCAAAAAAAAAAGAGATCCATTAATTTTTATCCTACTCTAGAAAAAAAATCATGATTTGAGCTTAGTTTCTGATGGTTCATTTTTTAAATTTTAAAATTGAAGTTAACAGATTGTTTCTTTTTAATAGTTTCCTGAGTTCAGGAAAAATAATTATTTTGTTGAATTTGAGCCTGTCATCCTTTCGTTCGCATTCCTAATTTTAAAGATTTCATGTTGCATTATCAGGGTAGCACTTTGAAAGCAATGAAGTTACACAATCAATCCATAACATCCTCAGAATCCTGTCTCCTTCAAAGCACTTCTAACAAAACAGTGTAGTTAGGTTAGCCACTCAGCAGTACAAACCCATTACTCTGAAAGCTGGCAAAAAGTGTTCCAAATCCTTACCAAATTCAGGATTTTCCCTGCCTTTTCATTGAAACTGTGTGACAAATTCAATCCATACACTCAAATAATTACAATGCCAAACCTCAACTTTCATTTGACTCTATTTTAGACTGAAAAAAATGTAGTTAGCTTAAAATATTTGCACATACAACTTTGAGTACTTGCTCCTAAAAATACTACGAAATATTAATTAGAAATAATCTATGTAATTAACACTCAATTTCTTTCAGCTTTCTAGAACTGAAACAATCCACATCTACTAAAAATTGTAAAATTAAATACAGGCTTTTTACAATTTACTCTTAATTCTTCTAGAAAATATGCCGTGCTTCCTTGCATTAACTGCAACTACAACAAACTCTAGTATATACCTGTTTCAGCTTGAACATCCAGTGATTGAGACACATTTATGAATTCCAGATGTAATTGCTCAAATACAAACTTCAATGTATATAAGGTTCCAGGTGTCAAATTACTCCACACAAAGAATCCACTGGGGTTTTTTATAACCTGAGAAGTATCATTCAGCGAAACTGAAACTGAAAATTCTTTTGTCATTGTACTCCAATTCGAAGACACTGTAGTAGCTGTCACAAATGTTTTGATGTCATTTTCTGAAATTCCACCTAGCAGTCCAAGAAAAAATAAATAGTCTTTACCGCAACAGAATAATAAGCTCACAGTTTCAGTGCCTTGATTTTTTTTTTTCCCCTCTTAAAAAGTGATGAGGGATACACACAGTAGGGAGAGAAAGGTAGTGTGAAAACAGAAAATGTCTTACTAAGCAATTAAGAAAGTAATGCTCTTTCTCATAATCATGCTATGCAAAATTATGTCTGGAGCAACCATTAATAAAAGTTAAGTGCGCAGTTTAAGGAGTGTTTAAAAGTCCAGACTTTGCTAGAGTGTCAGTTAAATAACAGATGTCAAGTACAGTAACACATCAGTAGCGTAACCATGAATTATTTCCTGCAGCTTGCTGAACACACTACCTTTCATGGCTGCTGCAATGTTTTCAACTTACTATGTGTTTTTCCCCAATGATCTTGCTTGTACTCAGATCCTAGACTATTCCAAAGCTAGTATGAGCTTGTAAGATGTACAGAGGTACTGCTATTAACGATTTTAAAGCAATTAACAAAACTAAGATTAGAAAGCCCTTTCATTCTAGTGGGACTTGTGGTCCTGTACAGATTTACAGCTACAAACAATGTTTTTGTAAATTCAGTGGCTAGACTCACAAATTCTTATACTAAAAGTCTGCCCCATTTAGTCACAATACCATGATCTGAAAGCGACTCATTCACCCTTTTTTAAAGCAGGACTGTCATAATACGGAAGCAAAAATATTTAACTAATACATTTAATTTACATAAGACAAACAATCACAACCCTATGTTTATATGAAATTGCCAGGCTGCAGGTAACTTTCTCAATGGTCCTCTTTTACAAATCTCTCGTCCTAGAATTACTGTAGTATAGCAAAGCCTGTAACTTTTAAAACTCTCCCAAACTTTTACGAGTCCCATATTGCAGAAATGTTACAGTAGCCAAACGAGTTATATAAAATTATTCCTTCTGCTCTTCAGAAGACATATATTGAGGCAAAGTTTCTAAATACACGAGTAAGCTCAGGATTTCAACCACTACTTCTTTAATCTTCAGTATTAGACTAACTATAATGATACCAGAATATTTTTGTGCTACACTACTTACGTGTCTTAAATGATTTTACACTTATGATGCGGCCATTTTTTAGAGATTCTATTGTAATATCATACTTCTTATTTTCCTCAAGCAGAACTGTAGCATTGACAGGTTTCTGTTCAACTTTAGAAATGTTTCTTACATTCTGCAAGTTAAAAGAATTTCTGGATATAGTGAAAGTAATAAAAACACAATTCATAAATGATCTATGAAGTTTTTAAAAGGGTAGCTCATATTACAGCATGTCAAACTTCAGGCTTCAGTTAAACTGCAAAATACTCAATGCATTTCAAACAAAAAGTTTTAGAAATCAAATTACTAACAAACACCTTCATGTTCAAATCCCAGTATTTTAAGTTCCAGAACATCCTGTGCTCAAAATGAGAACAACGCCCTCCCAGAGAGACTTGGAGGGCAGGGTCTGTGCCTCTCCTGGAGAAGTTAGACTCCTTCTTCAAACCAGACTACCTTGAAGAACTTACATATTATTAACTTTGAACATATGCCTATCTATTCTTATTCAATCGGCTATCCAAGGGTCTTTTAAGTCCCACTGGCTTCAGCAGAACTGTGTAAGAGTGCACAAAAATGACACAAATTACAGAATTCAATACAATTTTCCCAAACTTTCTCTTTATTTGCTATTTTACATTATTATTTTTTCAAACAAACACACAATGCCATTAACCACTGGTACGAACAGCTTAAATACATTTGGAACTACTTATCACTTAGATTGACAAAATTTACTTTTTGACTGAGAGCGTCTGCTCGCTGGTATGTTACAATATAGGAGTCTGGATCCTCTCCTTTGGGCAGTTCAGTCCACTCCATCAAAACTACTCTAGCAGGCTTTTTCACTTGGTCACAGTCCAGACTCTCTGAACCCTGTAAGAGAAACATGTATGAATGCAACTTAACAGAACACCCAGAAAATGGACCTCTAACTAAATAATTAAATTCTGTCAATTTTAACTACTTTTACCTAAAACTTGTCAGCTAGCAACAGTTTTTATGCGGACCAGTGTATTGGGTTTTCATGGCAAGGTTTTGTTAGCAGGGGCCTACAGGGGTGGCTTCTGTGAGAACCTGCTGGAGGCTTCCCCTATGTCTGACAGAGCCAGTGCCAGCTGGCTCCAAGATGGACCCACTGACTGGCCAAGGGTGAGCCCATCATCAGCAACGGTGGTAGTGCCTCTGGGATAACACAGCTAAGAAAGGAAAAAAAAAAACCTGCATAACAGCAATTGCAGCAGGAGAGAGGAGTGAGAACACGTACGAGAACCAATATTGCAGGACATTTTGCTGCACGTAAATACATACTCCTAGACCTAAAACCAAGAACTAGATTTGCAAGTGTACACAGAAATGTTACCATACTTTTATCTGATGAGAGGGATTTATAATGTCCCTTTTTGTTGCCAGCACCTTGCCAGTACTTTTTAGGCTCTTACCCAAAGACTGTAGAAATTAAAAAATTAAATTGACCAAAGAGCTAAGGTTCAAATCTATCTTCAGGTTAGCTACACCAGTCAGGAGACCTAAACAACAAACACTTACTGACTTCTGCTATCGACTGCTTCTCAACGTACAACCCAAGTAGGCTTCTCAGTCTGAAAAAGAGGCACTTGAGGGGAAATACAACAGAGGTCTATAAAATCTTCAGTAGCCAGAAGAAGTGAGCAGAGATTGATTTTTCGTTTTCTCTTCAATCACAAGAATTATGAAGGATGAAACACAACTGGTAGGCGCCAGATTCAAAGCAAACAAGAAGAGGCGGTGCTTCACAAAATACATATCTGGCAAAGCTTAAAATAAGTACTAAAAGTTTCTGTGGGCTTCAGAGGAGGCTGGACAAGATCATAGAGAACTACACTGCAGCTCACAAAATGCACCGCAACTACATGTGTCTTAAGAAGTCCTTAAGCTGCAAATGGTGAGAAACTAACACACTATAGGTATTTCTTATATTATGCTGTACTTACAGTCCTTCCCAAGGAGCTGCTTTTTGTCACTGCTGGAGATACAACACTGACCTTGCTGCAGTTTTTATTTCACCCCATACCACCACCCCTAAGAGACAGGCACTCTCAACTACTTTGCAACTGTGAGGAAACTTCCCTAAAGCAGATCACAGACTCTGCATGATAGCTTCCACAAAAAGCATTTGTTCCTTGTTCTCAAGCTCAAACTGGCCAGAGCCACCAGAGACTATTTGGACATTTTCAAGTAATATACCAGGAGGCTGGGTACCACAGCAGCATTTCACCACTCCAAATACGCAGCTTTCTTCTCAAACGGAGGGAGTGGTATTTGTACCAGTAATTGACAGAACTTTGAAATCACCTTTGCTGCAAAGCACGTTAAGCTAAATGTAAAATAAAGACTACGCGTACAAAAACTAAATAAACATGTACAAGACTATTGCAAAGTGTACCAGAAAATTAAGCAGGAAGACACATGTGGTTCCTATGGATGTGATTCTTGCAATAACAGTCAAATTAAACACAAAGGGCTAACCCACAAATAAGAGTTTTGGATCAGAAGGTAAAATACTTCTTGCAGAAGTACACTACCTAAAGGGATAGCCAGAGTATACTCCTGGGTCCCACAATAACCTTGAATTTCCAGCATCATCATGTGTGTATCTGCAGTGTCCAAAAGGTGACAATTTACACAGCAATATAAACTAGCTTAGGACTTAAAGATGCTGGGATCTCCTGCTTCTGGGGAACAACATTAAAGCAGAAGCAGCAGGCAATAAAGCAGACTAAGGGTCCCAAAAGAGCTTGCAACTATTTACACAGAAGGAAGACTGGGAATGCTCAACAGCATTAACTGAGAGCTCCTTGGGACTGCTAGAACAACAAAAAAACAGTCCTAATCACAACTCATGTTTTCAACATTCAATTAGAATACCCAGCCATACTCAAAAAAGGGAGTATTTTTCTTACCTTAAATAAATATTTTAATAAAAGCAGGAGAACAATTGTTTGATCCATAAAGAAAGGAACATTACAGTCCCAATGTCTCTGGACACCTGTGAATCACAACAGCTTCAAAACCAAATCACGTTAGAGTACCTATCTCAGAGGCAGGAAGAGAAGAACTGACGCCGGGATTTGTACTCCACCCGAGGCGGCAGAAGACAACGGCGCACCCACCGCCTCCTTGCCCTGGCCCTGCCTCTTCCCAGCCCTCGCACACAGCCTCCCGACACCGGCAGCAGGCCGTCCTCCGACTTCACTCAGCCCTGGATGTGCCCGCGGGTCGCTGGTCCATAGAATAAACCTCAGCTGAAGAAATGCCAGGGTTTTTTTGAAGTTTTACTAGTGACTACTGCATTGAAATCAGCGTAACCCCTCGCCCTCTCCTCCCGGGGCTCCGGCTGCTTTCCACAGCGCCCATTTCGAGCAAGACGCCGCTTTATCAGTGTTCAGAATAAGCCACAGAAGCGTCTTCTGCGGGAGCACTGAGCACACCTGCAGAACCCATCCATACCTCTGGCTGGGGTGTCCAAGAGCAACAAATATAAACAGTGCAAGTTTATGATAATTTGTTAAATTTGCCCCCCAAAAGGTGCACACCAGCGTGGCACCAGGAGCTGCCTGAGCAAGCCTCACACTGCCCACACGAAATACATAATCCTCCTTCTCCAGACGAAAGCAGAGCCTCCCAGTATCCCAACCCGCACAGGAACCCCCTCACCCGAGGGCTCGGTCCGTTCCTGTCAGTCCGCACGGC